ATTCACGAAATTATGTAAGAGCTTCAGGCTGAAGCAGTTACGGTAGACCTCCTTGAGCTGACGACGGTGACAGATGACGTCATATTCTGAAGACGGTGAGGGCAGTGAAGGAGGGCCTGCGTTCACTTATAGAGGGACATTAGGGAATACTTTGCTGAGGAACTCCCGTCAACGACGGCAATCTCTGCGAAGAAAAAAGAGCCGAAGTGCGACATAGGCAAAATGTCTTTTTTTTGCCCCCCCCTGTATATTACAACACACATAAATTCAGAGATGAAACTAAGACAACGACATCTATAGAATGAACAAGTGAGCTTCAACCTAATTTTCTGGTACTTTAGGTATGTCGGTCAACCCATTCAGTGCTGGATTCCTGCACAGTTTACAGGTAAGAAATTTGATCATCAACAGATAGACAAGAAATCGATTCACTCAGAGTTGATTGATCTTTTACTTGAACGCCACGCACTTGAGTTTCATTCGAAATTGTAGAAAATGTTGAAAGGTTGAATATGAAAGCTACACGGCATACGAGGTTTATACATAAGCAATCAGGATTCTTATATTTATTGAAGTACAAAATTATTGTTATTCCAAAGTATCAACAATTATCAAGGCATCAATAAATATTATCATACAGTATCTTTTCTTATAACAATTCATTCATATCAACCCCTATGAAACCGTAACTCCACCCTTTGAAAAATCTTTCTGATTTCTGAATTTTATACTTCTTGAAACCCACCGCTCCACTGGCATTTGTAAAAAACAGTCTGACATCCACAAGAATGCTGGGTTGTGAACAAAACTTTCGCCCCAGGCGGGACTAGAACCCGCACCTCTCGCTTTCCGGGCAAGTGCGCTACCAGTTACGCTACCGGGGCACCATTTCATTCCAACTCAGCTTTTCATGGTATACTTACCATAGCTTGTCAGCACTCCTAGCACTCATCTTTGCTCCGTCTGGAGCATGGTCATACACCACCCCGTCCTTCACCCCGTCTGTGGTGGAAGTTTTGTTCACGACAGTGCTGGGTTGTTTACAACCCAGCAATCTTTTGAAACTTTCGTAAGGCGAAATGCGGTCAAAAACAGCAGTTAACAATCAAAACAAGTCTCACGACCGCTTCCTCGCACCATTTAAGCTTTAGGCCAATCCTTTTTCATACCAACCTGCCTCTAATGCACAAACTCAGCGCTTGTTTACTTGTTTATGTTTATGTTCGAATCAGCAGCGGCTACAAATATTCATAAGCCGGGGACCAAATGCAATCGTAAGCATCGGTGTCTGACCATACCTGTCATCGTTTCGCTGCTGTTATAATCCGAATAACATTTGCATGTGATCTCTAGCTGCTCGATCGAAGACCACACCCATCCCACCTGTTGGCGCTATCTGGTACCAAAATCTCCGCGCTTTGCTTTGGCAAAGGCGGTATCTAATTAAGGGTGGGGTTTTTGTTGACAATCAGCTTGGAAAAAATATCATGTAGTTTCCCATCAGTGGCGATGTCTCAAAAACGATAACGATGGGAACATCATTCAGTGCCGTTCGAACGCGGTTCGGATCAGAGATATATTACTGATTTTCAAGAAGTGTTTGATGCAGAGAAAACAAAAAAACAAACATCAAGAACCCTGCATGCCCCTTCGAGGTTCTTCTTCAAGAAAGGTTTCTTGAGGACTTGAAGCAAAAAGGGGGCAAAATGAGGTTCAGAACCGGCTTCCTCATGCAGGTTTGCGCGAAAAATCTCAAGCATATGTGTGAAGCGGTTGTACAATAAAAACCTGGAAGCAGGTTACCATTTGAATTCCAGGGGGAATTCCAATTGAAAATCTCAGATTTCAGCTAATAATTAGAGACTTTTTGTAAGCTGTACCAGTTCTCTTTACAAGAATTGGCTTGTTGTATAAAATAATTGCGCCAAACTGGGTAACAATGGGAAAAAGTTTTGAAAAGGGAGTCAACTGGTAGGCCTTCAAGGCAAAGCCCCGGGATTAGCCCGACTAGTAGGAAGGATACCGCGAGGGAAATTGTAAGGTCCGTACCTACCTAGATCACTTCAACTTGGTCGCGAAAATTGCGCGGTTAGGGCGCTAATCCTTACGGGCCTGCAACCATCGAACGCTTCCCACCCACCGCGAGATGTGGTGAGATCAGCGTGCATTGATGTAGAGATCAGCGTGCTCTCTCAAACGACGTGCTCTCTCGCGTATTTTGTCTTCTTTGACCGCCCTGTCTCGCCATCGTACCACATCCGACCTTATTGAAGGTTAAGGCCTTAATTTCAGCGTTCCCAAAGATTTCTCTTGCTTTCCTTTCCACTTTCAGGTCGTTCCGCAGCTAAGCTATCACTACGAAGCGCTAGCACCAGTTCAATCCCGGGGTTTGCCTTTAATCGCTTCATTAGTGCCCGGCCTGCTCTTGTTTTGGGAGGAAAACTCAGAGTCTAATATCGTCATCCTTTTCTTTCCCGAATTCTTGAGAGGGTTTCAATGAAACCAAAGCGAATCTTCAGAAGTGGATCACTAATTAGGTCGTGACCAGCCAAGAAGACGGTCAAAACACTGATCCATGGGTCAGCAAAATTCGGAATTCTCTGCTTGCATAACATAAATGTGCATTCAAATGTGTCAAGAAATCTAAATGAAACTTATGGCGTGGCTCAAAGCAAGCGATGACGCTAGACTCTCCGTTCTTCATAAACTCATTGACGGGCTAAGGGGTTCGCATCACTGCTTCTTCTCAAGATTACACGATTAGTAGAAAAGGATGGAGACCCTAATTTTTATTTTGAGATCAGTCCTCACAGGTGCTTATTAGGGTGATAGTAATATAAGAGCACTCTTTAGACCACTTGGACATATCTTAACACTTCAAAATTTTCCAAGCTGTAGACGAGTACCCAGAGCTAGAAGATCTAACTTAAAGGATTTTCTTAGCTGTTTTCTGTTCATGAGTGGAAACCAACGGCCAAAAAAGAGGGTCCCGTTTTGCGTTTTCTTGACGATTTTTTCTGCTTTTTTCGCTGCTGGGTACCATTGAGCACCACCACGTCACACTGAACCCCTTCTTGATTTTATCGTAACCCCTGCTCCAGAGACTCCTTTGAAGACCTGAGCCCCGTGCTTCGCAACTCCGTGATGCCCTTTCCCGTCCTTTGCAGTTCGAACTAAAATTGCGAAGCCGTTCCTGCGAGGCTGATCAATTTTACGACATTGCAATTTTGTGTCTAGGACGGTTTTTGCTCGATTTACGTAACTAGCGATGTTTGCATTAGTTCAATTACATGTCGAATTTACTGCTGTGCAAATACTTTTCTTTATTGTAGGTTTTTTTTATAGTAAACAACAATCATTCTTGTAATGAGAAGTTTACTCCAAGCCTAAAAATAACGTGGTGATTCATTCTGTCGCTCCCACAAGTTCATTTTGTAATAGTTCTTCCTACTTATGCTCAAGACCATCGCCGATTTCAGGAGCATGGGAACAATACAGTGAGAATTACTGCTTCGTGCAGAACACGTACTTTGTCCGACCAGATAGCTACATTCCGGACAGCGTGATCGATAGGGAAAACTCTGAAATAGGTCGGTTTTGTTTTTCAGGGAATTATCGACCAAATTATCCTCACTAACATCTGACTCCAGTTCCAGGTATTGCATAGTGGATTTCTCATTCGTGTATTCACGACTAAAATAGATAAAGGTGATAAGAAAGAAGAGTCTGAAGGCTGCATGCATGGGGCAGAAGGATTTTCAAACGCCTTAACCTATCCCATGTTATAGGTAGCTCTCCAAAGGTTCAGGAGGAGACTATATACCACGTAAGAAAGGTCCGTGGTGATCCATGAACACTGAAAAGTAAAAATTTTGACCTTTTGCCGAAGTACATATGTTATAGGTTCATATGCACTCGAAGTTTACCCAACAGATCTCTTACTTTCTAATCCTGGCCTCACCCCATCTCAGCGCCTAAGAATGATTTAGCCAATTTTTGAGCCCTACTAGTGCCGCTAATCGTGCCGCAATACAAACGCGTACCTGCCCAGCCGGTATCTGGTCACATAATAAGCTACCCACACTCAACGTTGTTGTTCAGGTTACTACCAATGGGTGCCGTTTATACTCGGCATACAAGCGATTCTGTTCTATCTACCGGCGATGTTCTGGCGACTTTTCAACTGGCAATCAGGTAGAATACAGATTTTTCTACTTTTTCAGCTACTGGGTTCTAAGCAAGAAGCTGTCGAACACTAGGATTACTAGATTCATCAAGTAATATCAAAAAGCGTTCAGGAATTGCTGTGAAATCGCTAGTAAAAATGGCGAGGGACACGACCGACATGCAGCCGGAAAGGAAGCGAGAAGCCGTGATGGTAAATCAATAAATCGATAATTCGATTTTTTTTGTTTTCTGGACGGAATTTCACAAAATTTCTGTTTCAGGTAGTCGGAGCCCATATTCATGATTCACTTCGCGTTCAGAGGAAAATCTCTCAATACAGTGAGTTTCGTTCAACTTCCCAAACATTATAGTTATTGATGGTTTGTCTTTTCTGGATTAGCAGCGCTGAAAGGCAGTTCTATTCATGTCGCAATTGAGTTCATCTACAGTTCAAGATCATTGTCCTACGGTGCATGGGCGATTTTTCAACTCTCACAGCCCCCAAACCCTCCCTTCTTAAAATTCTCAAGTACTGCCCCGCTTTACTTCCTTCTTCCTAGCTTGGCCACGTGGAGGCTTAATCTCGATTCCTCATTTAGAAATTACACCAGAATAGTCTTCTGGTATCTGCACATCCAGGATAATTCTACTTGCATATAATATCTCCGATATTGATCGATATTGATTTCCACTCGACTTCGGGCTTTTTTGGGACACAAGCTAGTTGTGTTTAGACAGGCTTGTCATCTTACGTAAGCAATCCTCCAGAAGAAAATTTTCGCAGGTACGGCAGTTTCCAGGGAGAAAAAACCTTCAACCACAATGAATCGATTCTTGGCACGACCATTCCGGTCAGTCACTTAGGCAGCGGCAACAGACAATAATTGTATGTGAGCGCTGTCCTTGACGAGACTCCCACAGTAGAGTGCAGGGGTCGAATTTTGCTAATTGTCTCCACGAAGCAGAAAATGGTTGAGGATTCAGATAGCAATTCCACAAAGATTCCGCACCGAACTGTGATCAAAGCTTTTCATTTGGAACGTGCTCTTCTAGCCGAACCCTTGCTTTTGCTAATGCGTCACTGCTATTTTAATTTTCCTCGACTAACTCGACAATTCGAACTTCTCGAGTTGGGTAAATCGATAAGCATTCAAAGTTCCAAGGTCTTCAACCTCTCTCCTCTCGCCCACCCCCGCTTTCTTGTCCTATAAGAACTTATTGGTTCACTCCCACACAAGATCCCTTTCGGGGGTGCCACTGGTAATTATGCTCCAACCTCAGTTTTTTTGTGCAAAAAATCAAAAAAATTCAACTAACATTGAAGTCGAGCGGCGCGAAGCGAGGGCAAGTGATGGGAGACATTTTACCCCATCCCCCCTAGTTTTTCTCTGGCTTTTTCCATTCAATACCTACTATACAGTGGCAATTTCACCGGCAACCTCATCTATTTTGAGAATACAATCCAGACCCTCCGTGGGGAATTCCCAGTTTCCAAAACTGATGAGTTAGCACCATATGCCTGTAGACAGAGAATATGCTACATCTATTCTAGCTCCTTTGATGTAGGTGCCAGGACACATTCAATCGACTGGGTAATTGCACATGAAGAAAGAGTACGGCTCATCCTGAGATAAGGCTATAGAGTTTTGAATCGTGTTTTCTGTTTCGTTTTTGAGATGTTTGACTTTCGAAATAGATATTTTGTTCTTCTGGCGTCCAGCTATATGGCTACCCGCCATTGTTATCAATAGGTTGATTCCTCGTCTGAGGATTGACACTTCCACCCTGGTAGGGTAAACAAGCGTGCTGTAAACGTCTGGATCATCCTGTCACAGTTCAAATCCTTTTCGGTCAATTTTAATCCTTCCAAATGTGTCGCACTTTCGATTTTCATCCCTGATTGAAAGTGGATTCGGCCTTGCGATTAGGGAAATCCAACCACCCCATATGCGCACCTTAGTACGATTGTCTGTCCAAGAAAGCCTGTCCCAAATAGCCTGATAAATCGCTTCGATGTAAAGGAACCGCTTGTTCTGATCTTGTCCACAGAATTCATACAATCCAATTATTGCTCACGCCTCTGCAAAAACCGTGTATATTTACCGACCCAACAAGAGCGAAAACAATTTGGTCATTCCAAATCACCCTGACGGTTGCCATTATAAGCCTGTTCTCAACACTGTTGAGCCGTGTCACTCATTGCCGTCTCAAACCCATCAGAGGCTGCTCGCACAGCCACCAATGTTAGAAAGAAAAGTGGCCATGAAACCAGTTTGATTCGCATTAGTTACGCACCACTCCCTCTAATCCTCTGACGATTCCATCATCGCCCCAAAAGCATTGCTAAAACGAATTGGTGACACCTCTGTGTTTGCTTGGTCTCTAGGTTGACACCTCTTGGAACGGAACGGTTCAATGGATTTGCAAGAGTTTAAATCATGTGCGGGTTTACTATTATATTTTAAGCCTACTCATTGAAAATTGTGCTCACGTTAGAGTTGCTCGTCCAAAACGAATTCGGGAACCCCGTGAACCGGTTTTAGAATGATTTGAGCCCATGAAAAGTAAAGTTTGCCGTCTCGAACCCATTGTGGGAGGCCCCGAACAGTTGTGCGCGACATTTGTAACCTGTGAGGGAGACAATGAGCTAAATCAAACGTAAGCTAGAAGTAGGAAATCATAAGAGTTTCTCAATGAATCGGGCTAGATCAAAAGCAGAAAACTGTATCCGTCACGCAATTATATGGAAATAATTGCTCAAAAGGGATAAGTGTGTAGTGGCAAATGACGTTTGCCATGTGCGCAATTTAGGGTTAAATCTCTTATTAAGTCCTGTCAAGG